GTTCCCCCACACTCTTAGATTGAGATTGATGAGAGAGCATCTTGGTATCGGTGTTGATATTCTCGACGTCGTTGAAAGAAAGTTTGACAAGTATGAGAAGTTTGCAGAGACCGAGGAAGGTCTCAAGGCTTGCACAAATGATTTTAAGAAACCCATCAACAGGAGAATTTCTGCCGTTGTGGAGCTCGCTAGTCGTGAGATCTTGAACCAACCTGAGGGAACCGCCAGATGGAAAGCCCACTGCAAGAAGTTTGGTTTGAGATCAAAGCCTGCTCCTGTTCCTGAAGACATCAAGTATGAGGAAGGACCAAAGCCAGCTTTGTTACCACTTTCCTTCAATAACAGAACTGGTCCTCATGAAGCCAACAGAGGTATCAGAGATAAAAAGAAACATTCCTATGATGCTCGTGTTCAACATAGTGACGACCACAAACGCGATGTTTACGGTGTTGGCGTCGACAAGTATAGAACACGTTTGGGGCAGAAAGCACGTCTCGATAGCGCTCGCTTCATCCGTGACTTAGCCAAGGAAGTCTTTGATCAGCAGCCAGGTGCACAATTCCTTCCTGATCTTGAAAATGTAAAGGCATTCCTCGAGCTGGATGATTCAGAGTATAGCGCTGATATGACCGAGGAGAATGAAGAGCTTCTCACCGAGAGAAACAAAGAAAGATGGATTTTGTTGAAACGTATCTCTTACTTGCAGCGTATTGCGGTAAAGGAGTCCCAACAGACGGCAATTGAGCGTCAAAAGAGAATTGCTGCTGGTCTTCCTCCAAGCATATACGATTTTGGGTCTGCTGACGGAACTCCAACAGCCAAATCAACCACCCCTGCTCAGGAAACTCCTAATGAAGATGGCATAACCGATGCTGTTGAGATTCCTAACAAAAAGTCTGACTCCTCGCCTGTTGAAGAGGTGGATGCTGCAAACGATGCCGTCGAACTTCTGAATGACTATGTACCTGTGGTCAGTTTGGATGAGCAGCAGTTGAGGGAGCAGGTGCGTCAAATCAACGTCCCTGGAGTGGATAATATCTCTGCTTTCATTGATCCTTACGGATTCGAGGATCCATTGGACCCCGATTTTTACGAGGACATCTGGTTTGAGAATGCCAGGAGAAATACGGAAATCTTCAGACTCGTGTTCCATTGCCAGCCGGATGATGATGTTATCTCTTGGAAGGACTACAAGCATTTCATGAGGCTCGAGAAGGCTTTCAAGGTTGCTCAGGAAACAGAGGCTCGTAACAGAAGAGAGAGATTCCGTTTCGATGATAACTCGACTGAGTCTACTCCCGATCAAGCCGAGAAGAGGCCAAGCCACGCCCGCAGAAGTAGCCAGGCCACAATCTACATGAACGACATCCCCAACGAGCGTGGTGGTATCTTTGGTGACATCCCATCGTCGAACAACAGCAGCTCCACTGATCTTCCAAGAAATAACACCAAACTGAAGTTCAAGGTCAACGACAGGATTGATGAAGGCAATGAGGAAGACGAAGACAAATTCCTTGATGCTGATGATAACGAGAACGATGCGGATGGAGATGACGAGGAGGAGTCTTCCGAGTCTTCTGGCAACGGCCAGCCCGAGCTTAAGAAGGCAAAGACAAAGCAAAGGCAAGCTACTAGAATTAACAGAAAGAGGAGAGCTGGTACTTTCAGTGCCAGAAGAAAGGCCCACGCTGGAGAGAAGATTTACGACAGGGAGTCTGCTGAGAGGCTCCTCAATGAAATCCATGGGCACCTTGTTTTGTTCCCTGCCGACTGGCTCGCCAGAGAGCTCGAGGGTGATAACTGGTTCTTCAACACCGACAGAATCCCACCTATTGAAATTTATGACTAGATAATGGATAGATTTACATGGTTGAAACACTGTAGGCGTGCATGCGAAAAATGAATATTGGTGTCTTCTATAAACGCGGGTCTAATTACACCGACCACCTCCAATGTTCTTACAAGTCCTATCAGCGATAGGAACTGTGGTGGGTTTCCTATTCTTGGTGCTCTCCATAGCTTCCGGTTTATACTACATTTCGGAACTTGTGGAAGAACATACCGAACCCACAAAGAGACTACTCAGAAGGTTGATATATGGTGTCATGACCACGCTCACGCTATTATACTTATTTGATGGCTTTCCCTTCAAGCTTACGTTGTTCTCCATATTCACCTACTGGGTGTATTTGCAGAACCTCGAGAAATTCCCCTATGTTCAATTGACTTCTCCCATCTTCCTAGCATCGTGCGCCTTGGTTGTTGCTAACCATTTCCTATGGTACGATCACTTCCACAACCCATACATTCCACTGATTGAGGAGCGTTTGCTGCCTTCGTATGTACCTCCCAAGATTCCATCCTTCGTCGAGGTTTGCTCCTTTTTCGGCTTGTGCGTATGGTTTATCCCCTTCGCCTTGTTCGTCTCATTGAGCGCTAATGACAATTTACTACCCCAGCACGGAGCAATTCCCGAAACCAAACAAAAGAAGAAGGTGGGATTGGCCAAGCTCGTGGTGGCTACCGCTAGAGAATATGTGTACGCCATCAGCAGAAGATTGGGATATGAATTAGACCCCCACTATGGCACCATCGTGTAAATACTTGAAATGCATGATCTTACTTATTTAAGAATTCCTTGACTGGAGGGCCAATGTGGTCCAAGCTCAACAAGAACGTGTCGTGGCCATAGTTGCTGATGTTGTTGCCCAATTCGAAGTATGTGACGTTATCTCTGTTGCCTTCAAACGAATTGAGGACCTCGGCAATCTCTCTTTGCTGCCACACAGGGAAAAGAATGTCCGACTCGACTCCAATCACCAAAAATTCCTTGTCCTTTATCTTCTCAAACCCCTTCTTCAAGTCCTCGAGTGCCTGCTCCGGTGTGACTGTCGCCTTGTTGATTCTCTCCTGGTATGGGATCTCTGGAATGCTGCTTATGCTACCATCCTCGTCTTGGCTGTAGTACCTGCTCTCGGCTTCCGTTCTGTTGTTTTGTGCTTTGCGAGAACCTTTGAGTCCGAGATCAAACATGTCCATGGCCTTCAGCACATATAGAAGCGAATTGGCATCATACTCAAGACAGAACTTCTCGCCCTGGTGGTCCAAGTACGTCTCCACCAAGAAATCAGCGCAGAATGCAGCAGGCTTAGACTCGTCCGCTCTATTTCTGCCAAAACGGGATTCCCATTCTGGTCCAGAACGGTATGTAACTGTTGCAATCTCACGAGCTAGCTTCATGCCGATATGAGGAGGAACACTGTTGTAGTAGAAGCCACGCTTCCAGTTGGGGTCACTCATCAAGACCTGTCTTTGGCAGTGACGCAATGCAATTGAGTACGGATGAGATCTAGCACATCCCGATATGCTTACGATTTTTTCAACCTCATCTGGGAACTCACTGGCATAAGCCAATGACTGCATTCCTCCCATGGAAGCACCCACGGATGCATGTACTTTTGTAACACCGAACTGATTCTGAACAAGCTCTCTTTGGGCTCTTACCATGTCGTTGACAGATAAAATGGGGAACCGGGTTGCATAGAAGTCGTTGTTGGCTGGGTCTCTGGAAGATGGACCTGTAGACCCGTAGCAGCCGCCCAACACATTCGTACAGACAACAAAGTATTTATCTGTATCGATGTACTTTCCAGGTCCGATGAAGTTTTCCCACCATCCAGGTTTTGTGTTCTTTGGCTGCGATCTAGCATGAGAAGAAGCCGAAAGGCCAGTATGTATCAAGATCAAATTGTCCTTTTCAGGAGAAAGCTTACCCCAGGTTTCATACGCAATTTCGTACTCGGGCAAGTACCCTCCGTTGTCCAAAAATATTGGTTTTTTGCTTTTATAAATCTCAAAGCCTGTGGAGACAAACGAGTACGATGGCTCAGGACCGCCCTCGAGAGACGTCAGCTCTGAAACACATGCTGAGGAAGATTTGGTGTTCAATTTCTGAGTTTTGGCCTCCAAGGCATCTAGACACGGGAATTTAAGTTGTGGGTTGGAGGATCTGTTTGGCTCAGTAGGTTTGCGAAGCCTTTGATATGTGGAGAATTGGATAATTGAAGCGTTGCTCGATTTGAGACCAAGGGCCCTCCCTTGTAGGCGGCAGGAGGTTCTCAAGGGTAGAGCAGTCCGCATATTATTTTATGGACGTTGTCAATGTTTTTTTCAAAAAGGTCAGGGAACGGTTCTGAGTTCAGCAATTTGTCAGCTTGAGCAGCCACTGGCAAACAATTAGCCGAATCTGATGCTTCGTCACGTGATATTACATATAATTTCCTTCTCAATTGACAGGCTCAAGCTTATCGTACTGCAGGAAGCCGGGGAAGCTGTCGCCAGGCTATCAGCTCCACTTTTATGTACGAGATGTCAGAGGTTAAGATATCTATCAATTGGGAACTTTTACGTGAGATTCTAAATGAAGCAAAGTTTTGATTGAAAATAGTGCACAAATGGGCAATTGTCACCAAGACGATGTTTAGTGGCTGCAAAGCTGTCAACCTAACTCCCATATCTGGTTGTGTCAATGAACGTTGAAGATTGTCAGGCAGCTTTTCAAATCCACATCAGGGTCTAAGCCGTGGGTAGACTCTACATGTCAGTATCTCTGCAACAACCCAGGGAAATGTTTTAATCAGCCCGTCAATTTTAATTCACAAGACAATCATAATCTTGATACTCTCTTTCCTCGTCCCGAATCCTTTCAAAAAAAAAAATAAAAGGATAAGATGATCTTTTGTGCAATGTGGTTTGGAACATTGTGCGTTATCGCTCTCTCTATAAACTCACCGCGCAGAATATACCTAATATCGAGACAGGACCTACCATCTCTTCATCCCAGCGCCTCCTACCACCTCGTCAATCACAATTGACTTCCTGATTGGCTGATTGATCCTGGTCCTTGAGAGGCTATTGTTGTCCCGATTTCGGTTTGGTACCGTCTTGGCGCCCTCTTGGACTGCACTGACTCAACCATCAACTACAAACTTATCACCACCATGGATCCGCCACCAAAGCAGATGGGATCCCCTCCTATCAAGCTTACCAGAACAGCAGGAATCTTGTTCCCTTTGATATTTCTCATAACATTTCCGTTTTCTTTACCGTTGAAGAAGTTCAGCTCCACAGTGTCTCAAAATGCAGTGTTGAGCTTTCTCAACTACGTTTTTGTGCAACAGTTGGGGTACTTGTTCTTTACTATAGCATTCTTGAGTTATGCCGTTTTTTACATTGACAATAAACCCACGAGAGCTAGGAATATTGGGGTTCTTTTGTTAAAATACGCCATCATCACAGTCATTGCCATGCTCTTCCACGGGGTGTTCTTCAAATTTCTGGTGGTTGAGCTTGTCAACAGATTCACTGGTGGAAATTGCAGTGATCGCTCCGTATCAATGGCAAAGTGCCGCCAATCACCAGAGTATCAATGGGTCGACGGGGTCGATATTTCAAGTCACTACTACTTCTTGCTGAGCCTGGTGCTTATGCTTCTAAACAATCAGTTCTGCGCCGCCAGAGCCACAGACAGTGTGTCTCAGCCTCCGCCAAAGACAATTCGTTTCTCCCAATTAGCGGTCCTTTACCTTTCGTTTATCTTGATGTCGATTTGGATTTTCGAATTCATAATTACCAGCTTGTTTTTCCACACCATTACTGAGAGACTTTTCGGTCTTATAGGAGTACCAGTAGCATTGTTGACTATCTCGATCAGCGGAAGGCTACTCCCTGGTGAAGACGATGGCGACACCTAGGTAATAAACAAATGCACAAATATGGTTTTTCAAAATTCTAAGTGAGTATTCAGTCACCGTTGATTCGTGTCAACCTAGTCAGCGCTCAATACGCTCGAATCAAATTTGACAACCATTGCAGTGACGTTGTCAGTTGTAGCATTGTCGATAGCGAGCTGGCATAACCTTTTGGCAGCTTTCGCAGGATCGATGGGTTCCTTGTTTTGTTCTTGCTGTTTGAAAATATCGGCGACAAATTTGCAGGCGAAGCTATCGCTAATCACATCCCACACACCATCACAGGCTAATATTAGAAATTCATCCTCGGGGGTTATTTCAGTGGATGTGGTAAATGGCTTGCCAGTAACAAGGTTCTTGATATACGAGTCTCCCAATGACCTAGTAATTGCTAAGACGCCATTGACTCTGTTTTTGACTATGAGACCACCACGGTCTCTCACTCGGTCTATCTCACTGGGGTCAGAGGCTTTGTGGTCATAGGTCAATCTGTAAGCTTTTCCGGCCCGACAAATGACAATTCGCAGGTCACCGACGTTTGATGTATACAACATTCGCTTGTGATGTGGCCCTGGAACAAAATCAAACTTCTTGCCAGGTTTTGGGGGATTCAGTTTCCCCAGTTCTGCCAGCTCTTCGGTAGACTCCCAGCGTAATATGGCCACAGCAGCAGTCGAGCCAGCAGATCCACTGCCCTCTTCTTCGATGAGTTCGTCAGCCTTCACGAATACATTATGAAACACATCTTTGACATCACAGAGGTGGGCTGGAGAAGCACCCAGGCCACAATTGGCCAGAGCCTCCTTCGCTAGCAATTCCTGCTCAATCAAAGTATGCAAATTGTTGCCGCACCAACGAGCTGTCGATTTCCCGGCATGGCCATCGAATATGGCAAAGTAGCCCCAGTCAAGCTTCTCAGCAAAGTTGGCGACATACGTGTGCACATCTTCCATCTTAGCTCTGTAGGTGGCATTTTTATTCTCTGCCACTCCTACCTTGAAAGAAAGCCCACTGAAAGGGTCTTGCTGCTCAACAGGCGGGCTATGGTTATTTTGTTGCTTCAGTTCTGAAGCCGAGGCAGTCTCCAAGGTGTGATCTGCTGGCGCCCTTTCCTCAGGCAGCGCCATTGTGGGGTAAATATGGGCTTTTTCCAATGAGCTGAAGTGGTATTAAAGCGTAATGCACGTATGAGGCGGTTGAACCTGGTTATTTTAGCTTGAATATAGAACGTAGCTTTGGTGGAGTCGTTCTGGAAAACGGAGACAAAAATGGTTGTGCGTAGAGGTACAGGTGCGTTTCGTGGATTCCTCGGTGGAGGGGTTGGTACGAACCTAAAAGGGTATAAAGGAAAACTACACGGTGCAAATCTTGACTTTTCTTCGAATTAGGCTTTTAAGAATAGGGGTCCACAATAGCGTCAGATTATCCGTCGGCTGGCTGCAGATTTTAATGCCATTTCGTGTAGCGTCTGACTTGCTCGCGACCTATTACCATTTATGACTAGGGCTTCAAAAATCAGCCACGTAAGAAAAAAAATTGAATTTTAACACCTTCCGTGTTATATAAGCTGTTGCCCCCGCTTGTAAATTTTAAAAAACCTTGGGTGCTGGGCACTCAATGGCGGGAATTCTACTCGTCTATTGTTAGCATTTTTACCATTTGTGTACATACTTGACAGCGTCCTGCGTTATTTACTGCGAGTCTGAAAATCTTGCCATGGTTGCAAACCACAACCGTACAAATAAATCAGATAAAGGTGATTATTTTGATAAAACTATATAAATCGAAAGTAGAGCACAAAAACTGATCACCAGGCGATTTTGGCCAAAAAGCTGTTGGGGTGTTTTCTGTTGTACCACTTTCTCAATTCATCGTATACTAACACCACAGCTCCAAAACCAACGGCAATGAAGTAGTATTCAACGGGCACCTGGGCAGTTCCAAGGGCTGAATGGATGGCAGGAATGTAGTTGACAATGAAGGTCACTCCAAGCGTGATGGGCACCACTGCAAATAGATACTTGTTTTTCATGGGCAGATGTTGAAACATACTGAGGTATCTGGTTCTCATGGCAAAAAGATTAAACAGCTGCATGATAACCAAATTCACAAAGTAAATCGAGGAAGACATGTTGATATAATCCTCAACATCAGGCAAGTCTTCGTAGGTGCCATAACTCAATGAGAAGTCTGAGAACTTGTACCCTCTTCTCGTGAGGTTAAGAAATGCCACCATGAAAGATGTAAAGCAGTAGTAGGTACCAATAGTGAAGTAGGAATGTAAAAATAATTTCCAGTCAACCAACTTCTCCTTGGTAACGCTCCTTGGTTTCTTCTGCAACAAGTTTCTCTCGCTCGATTCGTAAGCCAAGATGATAGCACCAGCACAATCGGTAATGCAACAAATGATAATCATCAAAAACGACAGAAGCATCTGGGGCATACCAAAAATCACATTCATCAACACAGGCCAGAGTTCGGCATAGGTACCGGCAGGAAGCAAGTATCCAATTGTTTTACGAAGATTCTCAAACACTAACCTTCCGTACTCTAGGGCATCGATGATCGAATTAAACAATTCGTCTTCAGCGCCCGTGTTGTTCATCAAGATGATATCGGAAGCCTCTTTGGCAATGTCAGATGCGTCGATGAGGGAAATACCAATATCTGCCTGTTTGAGGGAAGGACTATCATTGATACCATCGCCGGTCATACCAATGACGTGCTTGTGTTTTTGGAACTGCTTGATAATCATGAGTTTCTGTTCAGGAGTTGTTCTAGTGAAGACTAGCTCCTCATAGCGAACCACCCGAGACCATTCATCTTCAGTCAAGGTGTTCAAATCACTTCCCACAATACTGACAGCTCTTGGAATGGGCGTATCGTCATTTGAAACAGGCTCTTTTGTTGCAGCAACAATCACATCTTGATATGTATCAACGTTGCCAGTGACGATTCCCACTTGTTTCGCAATAGACAACCCAGTAAGCTCAAAGTCACCAGTAATCATGACAATCTTCACACCAGCGTCTCGTAACCTGCTAATTACGGTATCGATATTCTTCCTTGGTGGATCCTCAATTCCAAGCATACCGACAAGTGTCATGCCATCTGACAGTTCTTCTCTCAACCTTTCAGTAGCACTGAACCTATCTGTGAAATCAATTGTAGAGGGCTGAACCATTTTTGAGGTGAGCATGATCACTCTCTTACCCTCCCTTGACCATTTTTGCTGAATGGTACGAATTTTGTCAAGAATCTGGTCATCGAGGTTTTGAACAACAACACGATCATCACCATCCCTTTGAAGAATGCTAGTGCAGCGTTTCAAGAGAATATCCGGAGCACCCTTCACAGTCAACAAAGAGAAGTTCTCTTCTTGACCGAGGGGTAACTCAATACCAATCTGAGACCAAGTCTTCTCAGGCATCTGGAACGAGGAATTGGCATCCAAGAGGTTAGCCATGTACTTATCCTTGGAGTTGAAAGCAATCTGGAACCTCGAGCTCCACTTCTGCTCAAGCTCCCACTTTGGCATGATTGAGTCTGAGTACGTAAACACAGCCTTGTCTGTTGCGTTACCATTCAAAGAGCCATTCTTGGATACTGTTGCATCATTGCACAAGCTGCAGATGGTAAGAAAATGAGTAGTTAAGGCATCCGTAAATTCTGTTTCCCCAGACACTTGCGATTTGAGTTCAGCAACAGAATCCTCATCATCGCCTTTGCAGACATCAGTAACTGTCATGTTGTTCCTCGTCAAAGTTCCCGTCTTGTCAAAGCATAATACGCTCACCGAGCCTAACGTTTCAACTGTAGACAAAGTCTTACACAAGATCTTGCTCTTCCTCATCTGGTTTGCAGTGATAATCAAACAAGTTGTCAAGGCAATTGGCAAACCCTCTGGAATGAATGCAACTGCCACTGCAACGATGTCAACAATAAGACCAGAAACCGTGAGCCAGCCTTTGTGGTCCTTGTTCAACCAGGCACACCAGAGAATGATAATCAAGACAACCAAGGCCACAATAATCGAAGTAGTCATGAGCACAAAACGCAAAATTTCCCATTGCATAGGAGTCAATCCCTTCTTGGGCTCTGAGGTCAACTTGGCAATGGTACCAAAGATGGTGTGGTCACCAGTTGCAACAACGATACCTTTGCCTGAACCCCCAACAACAAAGGTGCCTTGCATTGCAATACAGTTACTTTCGAGGTAGTTGGAGTGAAGTGGGTCAGAACGGTAAGTGGCTGGCACAGCATCAGACTCACCGGTCAAGATGGACCTATCAAAAGACAAATCTGGGGATGCTTCCACGATTCTTATATCAGCAGGAACCTTGACACCAGTACCAAACTTAATGATATCACCTGGAACAAGAATCTTCGAATCAACCTGCTCGAAGTTGCCCTCACGAACAACCAAGGTCTCAACTGGGATCATGTTGTGGATGGAGTCCATGACACGAGAACTGGAGAAGTCCTGGAAGAAGTTGAACATAGCCTGGAACAAAAAGACAAAAAGCAAAATGATACCGAGAATCAAGTTGGCGATAGCAGGGTCTGGGTTGCCCAAGGGCTTCCAGCTGACAATACACAAGATACCACCGGTCAACAACAAGCCGCCGAAACCACCAAAAAAGTACATGAAAATCTTCTTTAACAAACGACTTGGTGGTTTGGACTGGACGTTAGGGCCAAACTCCTTCCTTCTGGCAACCAGCTGGGCAGAACTCAACCCGTACGTCACATCGGTGCCGAAATCAACAACAAGCTTTTCAGGATCGTCAGTGTGATAAGTGATGCCGGCAAATTTGCTGGCAGTGGGATCAAGCTCCGTCTGGTGCTCTGAGCGTGTTTCGACCTCGTGAGAAATGGTCTTGAACACGGCTGGAAGCACCACATCGGGCTGCACACGTTCCCTGATGGTAAACAAATCATCGTCTCTGTTCAAGCTGTGAAACGACAATCTCCGTCTTGCTCTTCCTGGCACAGATACACCATCTTTCCTTTCACCATCAGCAAACCTGATACCGTCATTAGTAGGCTTATCGGCGAAGCTCAAATCGGAGTCGTCGTCTTTCGTGAACGACGTCTCGGCAGAGACCGTGTTAACCAAATAGCTGTTTCTCTTGTCACCCATAGCAAGCAGTGAAAAACTACCAGGGCCCTCTCTCGAGCTTATATACGTTTTCTCGTCACACGTCCACAAAACAACAACACGGCGAACAATGGCATGGCCCTACGAACGCGAGGACAAGAGGCCCCTAAAACCCCCAAAAAGGCAGCCAGACATAAATCGCTCACGTCTGGTGTTGGTGTGTTTGATCAGAGACCCATACATTTTGCAGCCAAAATGGCACTTGCGCCGCACCACGTCAACATGCGCTTGGCAAGGCGCAATGCGCGATTTACCCATGTCTCTCATCCACAGGCAGAGGCCAAAAGAGGTATACCCAATGGGAAAAATGCCTCAACTAGACTTTTCAATACTTTCGAATAGTTTTGAAAATGTTGAATAAATGCTTTTGGGGAATATTGGGAGACGTAGGCGTGCAGTAGGAAACCAAGCATTCTGAGACAGTTGGAAGTGGTATGCGCTTTTGACAGGTGCTTCCATACAGCTATATGTGAGCACTGAAGCATAGACGACAAGTGATGCAAGGGTTTTACCCCAGCTGCTTGCAAACCAGGCCAGCCTTGTTTCGAGGGATTTTTCGTATTTTCTGAGGCGGAGGCAGTGTCTCAACCAGGCTTCTAATTGGGATTAGCCGGCATGCTGCTTCGTGGGACCAATGTTGTGGAGTGCTCACATTGAGGGATTTAGCGAGAAGATTTATTGGACGTCGTTCAGGGTCTCCTTTAGGCAGCAATGGTGGCGTCAAGAGGTGGCCTCATTAGAGGATTTTCAAGGGGCAAGGATTGGCTGATTTGCAGAGCCATGTGCTCGAGATTAGGGGTAGATTGCTGGGAGAGATTTGTTTTGATGACGTAGGTGATAGGTATTTGTAGTACCGGAACCGCATGGGCAAGTTACCAGAAGTCTGTGAAGCTGGAGTGAAGCGACGTACTAAAAAACAGCGAGTGGTGTGTCAATACTGTGCAAATTTAGCGTGATCAGGGCTTGTGAAAACACTTATTTGGGCCTCTTGAGAAATGTTGTTTAATGCTGTGTTTTTGAATTACGAAAAGAAAGAACAGTATTAAGGAGAGTTCATGAATTCTGACTATTAGCCGTCTCGATAGGAATGTATCAGCAATCTCAGTCTTCGAAAATACCCAACGGAACGGAAAGTCTATAATGTAACGACGCAAAAGCTATTCCCTGATTCCAAGCTGTACTGCTCTTTCGACCATATAGCTCATTGCAAGACGCCGAGTGAATCGTTGAACACCCGACTCCAAACATTGTGAAAAGTGAGAGCAAATTATCAACTTGCCAAATGCATCATCCTTACTCTTTTCTCATATTTTTCATAAACTTTCGGGCTCTTCCGACTATATGTGACTACACCATGGCACACAGTTAACTCCGGATGTGATGCAGAAGGTTCCGGTCCAAGTGCCGAAAAGTGGGGCACACGGCTGCGAATTCGGTGTTTCCAGTTTTTCAAAAACACCCCTTCAACATAATAGGTGTCAATCTACAAAAAAGAATAGGACTTGCAAAAGATCGACGTGAAACGGCGCCCCCGCAAAAACGGCTGAGGTGCCTGTCTCGGCGGTAAATTTCTAAATGTCATTTCCCAGACTAGGCAAGTGCGAAACATGTGGATATAAATTGTAGATTCGCACCTCGCATTTTTGATAACCAGCCATGCCTGAAGTTCCTTTGCCATACGAGCCCAAGGGCGAACCAATTAAAGAACAGGTGCCTTACAACGGTGCCACTTTTTACACCACCACCTGGAAGGTGCCGGAGAATGTGCCTTACAAGGGCAAAATCATCTATGTTCACGGTTTCTGTGAGCACTCCAACATCTACACTCAGTTCTTCGATGAATTGAGTCAGAAGGGTTTCGAGGTTTTCTTCTTTGACCAGAGAGGAGCCGGTGACACTTCGCCAGGCAAGGAAGCGGGTAAAACCGACGAGTTCCACACTTTTGACGACTTGGATTTCATGATTAAGAGAAACTTGGACGCCAGAGAGGACAAGAACGAGAAGTTCTTCATGGGTGGCCACTCCATGGGAGGTGGTATTTCTTTGAACTACGCCATCCACGGTAAGTACAGAGACAACTTCAAGGGTGTCTTCACCTCGGGTCCTTTGGTGACTTTGCACCCAAAGACCATGCCCAACATTCTCCTCAGAACGTTCCAGCCAGTGATCAACCGCCTCTTACCTGAGTTCAAGATCGACTCGAAGTTGAGATACGACTTCATCACCTCTCACGAGGGCTGGAAGAACTTCATCATGGACCACGATAAGAAGTTGATTGGTACGGTTAGGCAATTTAACGACATGTTCCTTCGTGGTGAGAGATTGCTCCAGAAAGAGCATGCCGCTAAGTTCAGCCCCGACATCAAGTTGTTGTTGTTGCACGGCAACTCGGATTTCATCAACAACATTGAAGGTTCCAAGGGCTTCATCGCTTTACTCCCAGATACCGTGGACAAGGAGTTTGTAGAGGTGGACGGCGCACGCCACTCGCTTTTCATAGAGAGAAAAGAGTTGTACGATGATGTGTTTGACCACGTGTTGAAGTTTTTGGAGAGAAACGCCTAGAGTGTGTATTTCGATATTTTTAATGTATGCTAGTGGATCGGGTAGTCTGGGTGTATCGGGTAGGACGCGGCCGTATAAGCGCATACGTCGTGCGCATTCGTTTACACATCCACCAGGACCAACTCTCATATCCATAAAGAATCTTTGCAACCGCTTGATTACAGATTCTGGAAAAGCTTTCGCCCGATCCTTTCCCAGATACATAGTTCTCCCACTTTGCGCCGATATCTCCTGATGGCTTTAGACGCAACTCACAAAAGTCATCTGATGCCGAATGCACCCATCGTTACAAAGTCCCATAACTGATCTCCATAGTCCTACTCCACCGAGATATGGGATATACCATAAAACAGAAGATCGAGATATGCCTCCAGTCGGAGGCTAATCCGCAAATGACCCAGAGCGAACTAGCTCTATGGGCCAAGGAGAAATACGGATCTCAGAAACCCCCGTCTCAGACCACGATTTCCCGGATCTTGAGCTCCAAGTCCGAGATCCTTGGGTCCAAGGAGTCTGATTTTTCCTTGGTTCGAAGAAGAAAACAGTCGAATCCACTACTACGAAAGATCTTGACCGAGTGGATTACCCAGGCTTTATGGGAGTCGATCCCAATCACCACGCCAATTATTCAGCTGACGGCCAATGCTATTTGGACGCGGCTTCGGGCGGATTCCAAGGACGGGAATGGCGTTTTCAATCACAAATGGTGTAATCACTTTGTGAAGAAATTGAACATTAATTTGGAAGGCTCCCCCGAGGCAGTGGAGCAGAACTTGGGCGTGAAGCTAGATACGGTCTGGCGCCTTGATGAGAAATTGGAGCTCAAGCAGTTCATTGTTGAACTCATAAACCGCCATAATTACTCTCCCAAGGACTTGTTCACGATCGACGAGTTCCAGCTTTTTCATGCATTGCCGTTGGACCAGATCTTTGACATCTCTTCCATTGATAAGGGTCTCAAGCAAAGCGGCACTTCCTCCGAGAATATGCTAACAATAATGCTTGGATGTAACATTGACGGCTCGGAGAAGCTTCTGCCGTTGGTCGTTTCTCGCCAGGATAAGTTCGATGTTTCAGCTAGTTCCCATTCTGCTTTGAAAACCCATAGTGGCAGTCTCACCACCCAGACCCTCATGAACAAGTTGGACGAAGTGTATCAGATCTCCTACAGATCTAACAACAACAAGTGGATCACCTCCAGCATGTTCCAGGACTACCTCCTAACATTGGACCACAAGATCGAGAATAGTACACCTGAGAGGCAGATTGTCATTTTCCTTGACAACAGTTCGTCGCATCGAATAATCAACCTCGAGTTCAAGCACATCCGTCTCGTGTACATGGAAAATGCCTCGAAGCATAAAAACCCTTACGGCGGGTCATTTAACGGTGTGAAGTTTGACTATCTTCCAATGAGCTTTGGTATCGTCGAGGAGTTCAAGATCTTGTACAGGTTACAGCAGTACCTTGATATGATCAACAAACAACGATGCAATGCAGGTAAAGGTAGCAGATCATCGTCAATGGCTCTGCCAGTCAGTCTCGATAGTTTCAAGACCCCTTCCGTAATGAGCGAGGCCGCAGAGGTTCTAGCAGAGTCCGACTACCAAGTACCTTTTATCAAGGTGATTGAGTGGATCAAGCGGGCATGGGATTCTATCAGCTCTGAGAAGATCTTTACCAGCTGGAGAAGCACATACTTGATCAGCTTCAAGCAGGCCTGGCCAGCTTCTGATCCTAAGGTGGTAGAAGCAGCACTGCTTGCATTGAGAAAGTTCGCTGATATCAAGAACACCTACAATCCCTCAAAGAGCTACGACAAGTTGCATGAAATCATGAAGTACCTTAATGTGGTCATTCCCTGGGAGATCGACGAACTCCTAGGGTTGGTAAACGAGAGAAATAAGGTCAGCTTGAACTATGTCTCTATTGAAGAAATTATCGGCAGTTGTGTCGCCGCTTCTCAGGATGATCCAGAGGATCAGGAGATGGCCAATGAAGATACACACACACCCCTTGGAGCTGGCTGGTTCAACGAAGAGACATCAGCGCAACTAGCCGACACCCTGTTTCCCGCAGATAATACCAGCCCCATGAACGGACAAACGAAAATTCCAGAGTCCAACATGAATATGTCTCCCTCACCCTTTTCTTCCTCAGGTCTAGGAAGAACGCCCATGATGTACCCAAGCCAGGTACCCCAGTACAACTCTGGAAACCAGATGTCGAACCAGGCTGCTCGAGAGTATCCTCAGGACTACCCTGGTGGGGGCAGCCCATCTACAATGAGTGCCCTTCTCCTAGCCACTAATGTCACTAGACCACAGGAGCAGACATTCTCTCCACTTCCATCGCTTCCCAAAGGCGAAATTAGTTTACCTCCAGTCAGCAGAATGGACATGGGCGGGTACCAGGGTCCATTTGAGCGGAAGCACCGGCTCAACAGTGTTGAGCTTGAGCCTCTTCATCCAGACCGAAAACGCCAGACATACAACCAGGCGGCACCGTCTCCGCTATATGGAAATGGGCTTCCCTCGACGCCATACTACCCCAGCATATCTGAGCAGCTTCCTAGTGAAGGTCTCCCCCACATCAGAAGGCCTAACGAGCCCAGACTTCCAGTAGTGGGCCGCCGACTCCAGAACATCCGAGAAGGCGCTAATAACGGCGAGCTCATTGGACTTCTCAACAAGGTGATTTCAGCGTCCAAAAATGATGGTATCACCCTTCTGGAGCACGCCTTAGAAGAGCTCAAGGAAAACTTGACCAAAATGCAACACAAGCAAGAGCAGGACGGCGAGTTGCGCAACTAATCACACGTACATAGCATCTAATCACATTAATATTGCACTATTTACACGTTTACTCATTGTCCTCAGTAATACCCAATTCTCTGGCCTTGGCCTCCAAACGCTCTCTCTTCTCCGCTCTAGCCCTTCTAATTCTAGCCACCTCGGCCTGGATCTCGTGAGGCTCCTTGGGCACCTGGTTGAGCGTCAGCGGATCGGGCCAGAATCCAGGCAAGTTGAACTTCTTATCTGAGTCGATACCAACCCAGTACATGACAAGAATAGGCGTCAAGAGACAAAACCCAAACTGATGTTAGCAGAAATCCAAATCAACATATCCAACACAAACATACCTTGAACGTCTCAAGCTGGGTTCTGGAAATACCCCCAGCGAATTTTCTGTAGTGGTACAACACCATGGGGAAAAAGAGTAGTGATCACCTTATTTCTGGGGAGGTCTTCGCAGTCGCACTGATATCCTTCTGGCACACTGGGTCTCGAATACATACACCTTTATCGCAGCCAAACATAGAAACACCATGTCTGGATACACGCAAATCGAGGCCGACGAGCCCACGGTGGACGCCAATCCTTACCATAATACAACCAGCCAATCAGCGCCAGTTTCTGGCAATATGGCTGCTGCTCCTGCTGAAAACACAGAGGAATGGCTGTGGCTGAGGAAACTCAAGGAATCGTCCCACCCGGTGGCCTTGATGTTCTACATTGTGTTCCGGTTGTCGCCGATATTCGCCTATATTTTCGGCAACATGATCATTTCGATCTTCATCAGCAAGAACAGGTTCATTCTTCACTTCATTGTGCTTACATTACTCGTCTCGGCCGACTTCTGGAATTTGAAGAATATCTCGGGGAGACTATTGGTCGGCTTGCGCTGGTGGAACGAAACAAACAAGCAAGAGGGCTCTACAAGCTTCGAAAATGTGTGGGTGTTCGAGTCGGCCGACCCGGAAAGGTATATTAACCCAATCGATTCTAAGGTCTTTTGGATGTTGTTGTACGTGCAGCCCGTCGCATGGACGATATTGGCCATCATGGCTATCTTGAAGTTCGAATTGTTGTATCTCGTCTTGATCGTCATCAGTTTGTCCTTGTCGCTCACTAACGCCATGGCTTTCACGAAATGCGACAAGTTCGGTAAGGCCAACAGCATGGCCACGGACATCTTCTCCAGAACCACCGGTGGTATTTGGAAGAGATTCAATCCTTTCTCATCCTGATCAATGAGTCTTGACAGCATCGCGAAGCCACCTCAAATGCTCCAACTTGTTCTGTAAAGTGGTGAATGGCTGCTTGGCCCACAGCGATTCGGGCACCAAGTCTGTCTCCCTAACAAGTCTGTGCTTACCTTGAGGTGTTTCCATAACAACAGCAAGTGCCTCAAACTCTGAGGCGTATTGTTCGAAATCGGACTCGTCCACTTCCATTCCTCGGATCATGTCGCCGTAATGTGTTCGGGAAATGCTTTCAGATCGTTTCGTCACAATCCGCAAAATCAATTCGTTGACGATCAAAGTTATGTCGTTTTCGTTCTCAACCTTAATGACGGAATCTCTCAAACCCTCAACCTCGACATCTGTGTCCATATTCTGTAGAATGGTGATAGGATTATAAAATGCACTCGATTGATCATCAGACAGCTCTATCAACGCCTTGATGAATTCGGGCCTAGAGTAGGAATGTTGCAAGAGCAATTCCCACGTTTCCCTATCATTTTGTAGCTTGGCAAAACGAATAGCTCCCTTTGGATCGTTGAGTTGTTCCATAATGAGTTGCATCGCCTTCTTGTTCTCGCCAACCTTACCTAGCAAGAAAACGAGCTCATCAATCAAAGAGTTTCTTTCGCAGACTTCAATAGCCTTAGAAACATCGTAATTATCGTGCGATGTCATGAAAGGAAGGAGTTTCTGACGGTCGTATTGGCCGTAAAGTTGAATACGCACATCTTCGAAGTTTCTGACGAGAAGCTCATCAATGCTCACCAACTCCTCAATGTAAAAGTAGTTGATCACATCTACGTGATTTTCAAACATCACTTTGATCACATCAGCCGGAGCTATCTCATGTCTTGCATCAGCAAGAATGCCAATCACATCATGAAGTTTTGACCCAAGCTTGGTAACGGGCAAACGCTCTATATCAGAGGGATCATCAAACCTGAACTGAATGAATTGAGGGAAATCAGCCACGAAGAATGGCAAGATATGATTGGACACCAAGAAATCGAAAATCTTTGGGTCTCTCATAATTGTCAAATGAGGAACGGCTTTACGAGGATTATAAGACCGTTCGTACATGGAGCAAAGCTGACGCCTCAATTTCACATTATCTTCATGCTGCTCAAGGAACGACTCGATTTTCTCTGTTGTGGAATCAGTATCATACAAATCATTATCCCATCGACTTATTAATTCGTAGAATGTCTCGTCATCTGGGAGTAGTTCCATCCAGTAGTTGAGGATGTCCGAGAAAAGCTGCTTGGGTAGGTTCCATCTTGTATCTGCTGGTGCTACGGGGGTGATTTCCCTCGTATGACCAGTTTTGATGAATATCGAGATCCAGTGACCCCATTGCGACGAGACCTCCTTGACAAATGCCTCTTTATCCTCAACAGAAGAGGAAACTGAGTTTTTTGTGTTCAATGTAGACTTTGTATCTCCTAGTGGGAATTCACTCGGATCAATGTGAAGAATCTTGGTAAGCATCTCAGCGGCCTTGGACCAGTCCTCTTGCTTTGTGAGACTCTCAATGTACCAGGTACCATATTTGAGTCTTTTGATGGGCTGGACAATGTGCTGACTCATTTGCCACGCTTCCAAATACATTTGTCGGTCAAGATACCATTGGAGTTGGTCATCAAGCTGAATTTGTTCAGCCACTATGGCATCTCGAGCACTCATTATAAAGTAACGAACAGCCTTATCACCAATGTGCTTCCCAAGATGGTAGTCGTTTAGGCCAAGGTTTTCGGTGAAATTGAATCCGATTTCCTCTTCATGCACAGTGGAACCATCTGTCGAGCTCACAAGTTTAAGGTCAGGGTTCTGTACCTCCACTCGTCCTGTCTCCTCGTCTTTCTCTGGTTGATTGTAGACTAGCACAATCCACAAATCGTCCTTAAAACTGCCGATACCTGATATTAAGAAGTCCATTTTGTAAACGTGCTCAACTTCCACCTTTTTCTCGTTCACTGAGCGGAATGAAAGCGAAGGAGCAGAAGGTAAGTAGCGACTTCTAATTGACGATCCAGCGCCAGAACCACCACTTCCCTTCACAGACACCTTCAAAGACCAAATATAATTACCCCAGGCTATCAATAGCATATTAGTTTCCGGAAAGCAAATTCGTGGCCAGTACAAGTCGCTTCGGAAGGAGTCAGATGGTTTCGAAATTGTGGAGATGATCTGTTTAGTGGTAATATGGTAGATGGTGATTCCCTTGTCGTTCATCCAAAGAAGCAAATCGTCTATCGTCTGAATGCCCACAATTGCGCCGTTGTCCTCGTCTAGCACAAGCTCTGAGCGCTGGTCAAGCCAGGACTTGTATGAATACACCACCTTTCCACTCATTCCTCCGTATATAAACGAGCGATTCTTCTGGTAGTTTTTGTCGAGAACAACAGCATGAACTGGCCTCTTGTAATCGAACATGACAATGTCATTGGCGTCCTCCACAGAGCCAATGACCACGGTACCGTCCATGGACCCACTTGCGAAGTAATAGCCGTCAGTGTATAGCGAAAGAATGGACGCCTTGTGGGCTCGGAACGAGCGAATTATCGTGAAATCTGGCTTCGCTAGAAGTATTAAACCAGTATGGGTTCCAAATATGAAGACATTGTCGTGAAAACACAGGCTCGAAATGGGGTCTTTCTTGAAGAACGATTGCGGTAGTGAATTAAGCCGCGTATATTTCAAAATTGGTGGCTCGTCTTCCTCTTCGTCAGACAGCTCCTCTCGTAGACTGCTATCATCATGACCATTCTCTTTCACTTCTGGAGCTGTGACTTGGTCTTGGTCACTCTCATCTGAATCTGGCTCTATTATGGTATCGTCGTTCACATCAGTATCAGATGCTCGCTCTGGCTCGCTATCATTAGATGAAACCTTATCGGCACCTCCATTTTTGGCAATTGGCAGTGCCATGCTATATTTGTATTATAATGAAGTGACGATATAGATAATGCTCCATACAAACCAGTGTGTGTACTGCAAATAGGCATGGAACTGCTCGTTAGCGAGCCTACTACTACTTGAACTAACATGCCAACCGCAAGTAAGGGTGTACTTGTTCAATGTGACCCATCTATAAGAGCTTTGATATTACAGCTCGATCTGAAGAACAGGGGCATTGTTCTCGAGGAGTTGGACAACACCCACCTTATGATCAAACAGGACATGGTTCAGTATGTCAAGGAAGAATTGAACCGCCTCTTGTCCAAGAATATTTACGATCCCATTGACGGGATGAAACCTTAGTTTTGCGAAACTGCTTCGTCCATCTTGTCAAGGTCGTCGAGAATGTTTTCATTCAACTTGACCGCCAGCTCGGCTTCCTCAGCTTGGAAAATGCCCGTTACGGTGTCATTCAAAAAGTTGAAGAAGGCGTCAGGCTCCATGACATCACTCATGTCATCTGCTTGAAGCTCTCCTTTCCCAAGCTTTTGTTCGAGCTCAGCATAGAAGCTCTCATATGACGTGAAAATGAACTTGGAGACTTGATCCACAAGGAACCTGATCACTTCATTATCCTCGATATACGCCTTGATTTGATTATGTGTCTTGGGGAATTGCATGATGACGTTGTCGTTGAAAGTAACGAGTTTATCCTTGAGGGACAAAGATTCATCTGTCAATGGCGAGCAGATCGTGTTGGCACACTCTGCAACCCAATCTGTGACAGTGTTGCTTAGCTCAGACTCAGCTTCCTCGTTGGCGTCAATCAAGTTATTGATAACCTGAGGTGCAGACTTCCTCACAAGCTCTAGCAAACCACCCTGCTCATTCACCTTCACCTGAAGCTCGCCACTTCTGATCGTCTTTATCAACTCGGTGATTCCGCTTGTGAAGTCAAGTGACGTTTCAGCTCGAACATACTGTGTATCGAAGTTGTTGAGCTGTGTTCTTAACACCATCAAGTTCTTGAAATAAAACAATTTAGCATCTAAGCTGCCGAGGTGGGACTTTGCAAGAGGCAAGGCCCCATTTTTTAGCATCGAAATGCAACTATGCACAATGTAGTGAGCCATGTCGTCGAAGACCATGGAGCTGATCAAGTCGTAGATGTTAGAAAGGATTGTTAATGCCTTGCCAACTGGCGTGTAGGCGTCAGGGAAGAGGTTCTCCTCCACTTCATCCAAAATGGAATCAGCACGGCTTCTCTGCCTGCTTGACGATCTTCTTCTTCCAAGCCGCAAGTCTTCTGCTTTGGGCTTGTACTTTATGAGTTTGTTGTCAATGTAGTTTTGAATGCGGAATATTAGTCTCGACTGGGAGATGCTCAACATGGGCTCGAAGAGCTCACCGTACTCGATTTTGGCATCGGGCAATGTGCTCACTACTGAGGTTTCTTCGTCAAATTCAAAGTATGCCGTGAGTAAGTTTGTGAGCTTGCACAACTCACCAATATTCTGTTCGCGTAGAACCTTGTTCCTGACTTCATCGTATAATGGGTCCAAAAGGTCCTTGTAGAACGAGTTGAGTTCTTCCGTTATAAACGATTGCAGACTGGCATCCCACTCGTCGATGGGGAAGTATTTCACGAACAAATTGTACTCCTTTTCCAAGATCTTCTTATACCATGAGATGGACTTTTGTGAGTGTAAAACCAAGTTCTCCGAATCATCAACAGTCCTGTTGTGGGCAACATGCTGATGCACAAGTTGGATTCTCGACTTGAAGTATTGCGAGAGAACATCGCTGACCAACCCTTTGTATTCGCTGTGCGATGCACTTTGTCTGACTATCTGGCCAATGAGTGTGGGGAAGCTGGAGGGCTCGGGCTCTTTACTGAGTTCACTGATGTACTCACTGTATAAGATTATGTCCCACGATAAACTCTTGAGGTTTTCACCTTGTGTCTTGGCGTAAGCCTCTTCTCCCCGTTTTTTGATGTAGTCGATTAAGTAGTTACGAACCAATGTCAAGCCTCTTGTCATGCATTGGCGGTAGCGAATAATGTATACCTCGCTATCCTTATAGTTTCCATGGGTAGCTAGGAACTCAAGACACTCTTGTAATTGGATCAACATGGTAGTGATTCTGCCGGTCCGCACCACGGAGTTGCCTGAACTGACCAACTTTTTGCTGATCCGCTCAAGCGGTTCGAAAATCTGAAGAACATGATCCATTTGCTGCGCTTTAGCCTCGAGTTCTTCTTGCTTTTGCAAAAGACCAGTAGCTTGGTTGGCAAAGTCTGATGTCTCTTTCGACACCTTGTCGTACTGGAACATGAGACTGTTGAGTGACGAGATCACGAATTGGTTTTCATCCACAATGCTGTCAATCTGAGCGATATTGAGGTTGCAGTCTGACTGGAATTGCAACACCAAGTCATCATTATAGTTGTTCACGCTGTCGATATGCTGTGAATCTAACACGGTGTTGTAATTGAGAGTGTCCAAAGTTTTCATCCAAAGGGCATCCTTTTCTTCTTCAGAGAAGGGAAATGTTGGTGTTTCAGGCGCCACCTCCACCTTTACATCAACGCCCACAGTCAATGACTTGGATCTTCCACGTTGAGGTACTAAGACATAATGAGGGTGGCTCTGAGGCAATGTGGGATTATGAATGCTTTTCGTATCTGAAGAATCATTAGCTGTGCTTTGAGAATAGGCAGGCACTTCAGACGCCACCTTCTGCACAATCGACTTGGATCTGCCTCTGGCCATGGATGAACAAGTAGCTCTGTACAGTAAGCGAAGTAGGATGTTGATATCGCGGTACAGGAACACGTCTGAGCTTGATCCTACTCCTACCATCTACAAGCATGATTGACCCGCGGGAGGCCAATGAGGCGGAGTATTTGACAGAGGATTCTGACGATGCTCTTGCTGATTTGGAAAAGGAGTTTGCTGCTAAAAAACAGCGACTTCTAGAGGAGCGTGCACGGAAGAAGCAGAAACAGCATCACGTCGATGTAGAGAGATCACCATCGCCAGAAAGAAAACCCCAAACGGAGTATTTTCAAAAACAGAAGGATTCAAAACGTCTTGAGAAACAGCCAGAGTATTCAAAACCCCAACCTCAGACACTTTTCACCACTCAACCCAAGTCATCGTTTGCGTCGCGTCTTGGCCAAGAACCCAAAAAAACCTCCATAGACCTCAGTGAAAGAATCTTTGAATTCGAAGACGTGCCCGAATATGCCACAACTCAGACACAGCCAGGCGACAAAGACACCAACACTGGACTCGAGCTTCTGGCAAGACGGCTCGAGAAGACACAGCTCGAGCAGCTACTACGAGGAATCAAGATCCTCAGCATTCGAAAGCTTTTGGCCAAAGTTGTAGCACCACATTTTGAAGAGCCTCGCTACGTAAACTGGTGTTTTGCAGGGATGGTGGTGTTCAAAAGCCCTCCGCGTCATACAGTCAACGGGCAAAAATACCTCCAATTAAAAGTAGGCGATTTCGACCACAGCGTGGACGTTATGCTTTTTGGGCCTGCATTCACGAGATTCTGGAAGCTACGGCCTGGAGAGATTGTGGTCATCTTGAATCCCCGGATCAAGCGGATGAAAGGCGCCCCGCTGGTGTCTGTGGGGGAGGATTTGCATAGTATCTTAGAAGTGGGCAGCGCAAAGCATTTTGGCTACTGTGACAGTGCGACCAAATCAGGCCTGTGCAAGCATGTGGTTGACGTTTCGCGGAGTCGACTTTGCAGCTACCACGAGGAGCAAAAATATCGAGGCCTGCGGATGGAGCTCCAAGGCGTAGCTGCAAGAAAGCCTGGGCAGGGGCAGGGGCTGATGGCAGGCGCCCGCAAAAACGGCTACGGTGACACGCGGAGACGGTTTACCCCGAATTCACTGTTTAGGCAGGCGCACTTTCCTGGGGACCAGCAGTGTGTCCAAAGTGAGCGCAACGAGGTGTTTTACGGTGGTAGCGGGTTTGACGAAAGCGAGTATGACGGGGCGCCCCTGACTAAAAAAAAGCGGAACGGACCTGAAGATTACGAGCAAATCAGAGCCAGGGTAAAAAAGCAGCAAAAACAAGAGTTATCACATAAACGGCTACTGGAGCAGCTTTCGCAGCTACCACCAGCACGAGTCCTGGCCTTGCAGAAGCTAGGCATTCTTCCCTCTGCAGAGGCGCAGGGGACCAACGGAAAAACAGACAATGGCCATTGCGATACCCACGGAAAAATATCATCGAAGAATGGGCCCAAAAATGTACATCATCCTGGCCATGCTAGTTCTGGAACAGTTTCGCATCCACTCCGTCCTGCTCCCCAGGAGGGGAAGCATTTTCATAAGACAACGTCCGGAGTTGCCGCCGCAGCGGTTGCTGGCCCGGAAGGGCAGCACCTCCACTCGCCTGGTAGCACAAAATCGCGCATGCAGGAACTCCAGCAGCTTAGTCGCCTGAAGAAGGTGAGTTTGTGCCGCGAACGTAAGAAGCGAAAGCCTCCGGTCCCGGACGAACTAGAGATCGAATTCTCGTCTTCTGCCCAGAAATCCGCCTACCAAATGCTTCGGAAACCTTCCCCCTAACTTGTTATGGTATGTGTGGATCTTTTTTGGGTTTCAGAGTATGCCAAACGCACATGGGTCGCAGAGGCAGCAAAGCATGAACGTGATGAAGGAAGCACTGCAGCCCTACGCTGTCGCGCACACTAATTGGCCGCAGTGCTGTGTAGTGGCTACTGCGACTTTGGGGCATCGTCACCCACACCATGTGAAAGTCCCCGCATGGGGTTTTGAGGCCTTATAAAGCCCCGCCGTTCTCCTTAATGCATTTTTGACCTCTAGTTTATCGTTATCATGTCATTTGTGAACGAAGCCGTAGAGGCGGTTAAACCTCACATTGCCAAATGGTACACCATCGTCTTTGCAACCATTCTTTTGTATGTTGTGCACCGTCAGGTCAGAATCTACCGCATTTCCAAGAAGTTTGGATGTAAAGATACTGAGCCTATTCCAGCACCATTCTTTGGTGTCCCACTCTTGGTGGATGCCCTTAAAGCCATCAACAACGGTACAATCTTGGAATTGATTGGTGAACGTTTCAACAACGCTCAAAACGATACCTGCCATCTTATGTTGGGTGGTATTCGTGTGCTTTTTACTTTCTCGCCAGAGAACTACAAGGCTATTTTGGCCAACCAGTTTAACGACTTTGCCTTGGGCAAGAGACACTCCCACTTTTTGCCATTGTTGGGTGATGGTATCTTTACCTTGGACTCTCACGGATGGAAGAACTCCAGAGCCATGTTGCGTCCTCAGTTCTCTAGAGAGCAGATTGCCCACGTCAGAACCTTGGAGCCTCACGTCATGACCCTCGCCTCCCACATCAAGAAGGCCAACGGTGAGGCCTTTGACATCCAGGACTTGTTCTTTAAGTTCACTGTTGACACTGCTACTGAGATTTTGTTTGGTGAATCTGTTTACTGTTTGAGAGACGGCACTATCCCAGAGAAGCCTCCTCATGACTTGTTCCCAGGCAGAGAGGAATTCGGTGACGCTTTCAACCTTACACAGAGAGTTCTTGCCATGAGATCCTACTCTCAAGTGTTCTACCGTGTCATTGATGGCTTCAAGTTCCGTAGCGCTTGCGCCAAGGTTCACAAGTTCGCTCAGTTCTACGTCAACAAGGCTCTCGAGGCTCCTCAGGAGGAGATCGAGGCCAAGTCCGAGAAGGGTTACACTTTCTTGTACGAGTTGGTGAAGCAGACCAGAGACCCTAAGGTGTTGCAGGACCAGTTGTTGAACATCATGGTCGCTGGTAGAGATACCACTGCTGGTTTGTTGTCCTTCACTCTCTTTGAATTGTCCAGACACCCTGAGGTCTACAACAGATTGAAGGAGGAGGTCTTGGTCCAGTTCGGTGAGGGCACTCCAGAGGACATTTCCAACATTTCCTTCGAGTCTCTTAAGAAGTGTGAGTACTTGAAGTGGGTTCTCAACGAAGTGTTGAGAATGTACCCATCTGTGCCAATGAACTTCAGAGAGGCCACCAAGGACACTGTTCTTCCTACTGGTGGTGGTCCAGACGGCACTGCCCCAGTCTTTGTTGCCAAGGGCACCACTGTTGCATACTCTGTTTACAATACCCAGAGAGACCCCAAATACTACGGTAAGGACTCCAACGAGTTCAAGCCAGAGAGATGGGCTGAGAACCAGAAGCTTGGCTGGGCTTACTTGCCATTCAACGGTGGACCAAGAATCTGTTTGGGCCAGCAATTTGCTCTTACGGAAGCTTCCTACGTTGTTGTGAGATTGATCCAAATGTTCCCTAACTTGGTTTCTGCTTACGAGGGTTCTTACCCACCAAAGAAGATGTTGCATCTCACGTTGTCTATGTTTGACGGTGTTCCAGTTAAGATGACTTAAACCTTGCTGACGCAGTGCGCTAGCTAATTAAATATTTATAAGCGTGGTCGCTGGCACCATCGATAGAATCAATATAGATACCTGGGTATCACTGGTGTAGCTTTGCTTATCTACAAAGGAGTTATTCCGCCCCAGTATTTTGGTGCCTTTGCAAGTTTCAGAATTTAGCCGCCAGACATCGACAATAGGGGATCCGTACTAGTCCCCCTTCAAGTCCCTGAATCCTTCATTCTTCAAATCGAAATTTTTACTTCTTTGTTGGAAAAATTCTCTCCTTTGTTGCGATGTGGGGACTGTGGCATGGGCTCATGATCTACCACTTGGATAAGCCATCAGATTCTCCTAAATATACCCCACGACTGGGTCCTCCACAGAAGATGCACTTCACATGAATGCTCTGTGTATAGAAACAAAAACAGCCTTGCTACAGTGATGGTTTGTAGACTCCCTCTCCATCCGACCGGTAAATATGTACAGCTCGACAATACTTTTTCAACCTTTGTGTTTCCTGAATACGGCGATTATCGAAGCTTAATTTTCTTCGAGACATAACGATAATTTTTGGGAAAATGTTGACGGAATTCGCATACCAGGACAGCCATTTTTGCATTTTTCAGCTTCCATGATCTGCCTTCCAGAGTGCTTCTTCACAGGCGTTGCAGATCTCACAATCTCGTAGCAATATTATTTGGCACTTTTTGTTGAGACGCAAAATACACGGAACGGTTAGTTTTTCAATTGCCAAAAAATTGGCTATGCTAGCAGGAAAATGTGGAATTTTCAAGGTATCATGGGGTAATTGAGTTTGCTCCAAGCCAGCACATTCCACTCCTACTTTTTGCAGTTTGCAAGATTTAAGCATAGTGGCTTCGATAAGCCAGAAAAAAATAATTAAGAAGTAAATTAAACGCTGGTACCTTTGCCCTCCATACTGTCAGCAGCTTCAGCTAGGGTCAGACCCACCAAAAATGACCGTTTCCACCAAAGTGTGAATACCAAAGCTTTCAACAAAAACATCCTAACGTCAAAACCCTTCCTCCCTTACCCCAAATACCTATTCTTTTTTTCCCTTCGCTATGCCTCCACTGCTTACGTCCCTTTGCAGCCATTGGCGCGCTCCTGACATCTCTTCTCACTACCGATGGACCCCAAAAGACAGAAGCTTGAACCATCCACCATGAAGATCTGCACCCATCTGGGCCTGTTCCACGCCGATGAGGCCTTGGCCGTTTACATGTTGAAGCTTTTGCCCAAATTCCAGGGTTCTTCGCTCGTCAGACTGAGAAAGCCTGAGGACTGGGATGCCTCTGATATCGTGGTTGATGTTGGTGGAAAATACGACAAGGGCACCAAATGGTTTGACCACCACCAGCGTGAGTTCAACGAGACCTTTTCGCTGAAGTACAACACCAAGCTCTCGAGTGCTGGTTTGATTTACAAGCACTTTGGTAAGGACATCATCCAGGAGACGCTCAAGCTTGAAAAGCCTTCTACCATCGACTTGCTCTACCAGAAGGTGTACAAGGAGTTTATCGAGGCTGTTGACGCCAACGATAACGGTATCAACAACTATCCTGGTGACGTGGAGAAGAAGTTCAACGACAAGAACTTGGCCCTCCCTGCTATCGTCAGCCAGTTGAACCCAAGATGGAACACCAACCCTACCGACGCTGACTACGATGCTGCTTTCGAGAAGGCTAGCGACTTGATGGGTACGTGTTTCTTGAACCTTCTCAAGGGCTACGGTGAGTCCTGGTTGCCTGCTAGAGACATTGTTGAGGCTGCTTTCGACTCTCGTTACGATGTGCACCCTAGCGGTGAGATCATTGTTCTCGAGCAGTTCTGCCCATGGAAGGAGCACTTGTATGCTATTGAGAAGGAGAAGTCCGCTCAGGGTGCCATCAAGTTTGTGCTTTTCGCTGACTCCAGCACCAAATGGCGTATTTCCACTGTTTCCGTCACCTCCACCAGTTTCGAATTCCGTTTCGGTCTTCCGGAGCCATGGCGTGGTGTCAGAGACGAGGAGCTTTCGAAATTGACCGGTGTTGACGGCTGTATTTTTGTCCACGCTGCTGGTTTCATTGGTGGCTGCGAAACCAAGGAAGGTGTCTTGCAGCTTGCCAAGTTGGCCTTGGAGCACAAGAAGTAGTTTAGGAAAAATGGGTTATGAAAATTCACAAATAGACGTTCTTAAGGTTCGTGGACAGTAGTAGTTCTACAGCGTGTTTGGTGCATACAATGATGTTGAAGCTATTCAGTCATTTAGTTACCGTCCAACAATGGAGCGCCTTCCTCGGCGGTGGTCTCCTTGGTGATCTTACCGGTAGCAGCAGCAGCAATACTCAAAACGAAGAGAAGACCAGAAATGACAAAGGCAAAGATCCACTGCAAAGCGAAAGTCTTGGTGAAGATCTGGTTCAAGCCCAAGCCGAACATCAAAGCACTCGAGGACAAACCAATGCCCCAATCGTTGAACACAGCGATGAAGAAGGTAGGCACAAACAAGAACAACCACACGAGGATGTTGGCAATGATTCTACCGACAAACTTGTGGACATGGAACAACACGGCACCGTTCCAGAAAACAGCAAACATCAACCAGGACCAAGGCAATGCCACGGTAGGCCAGTGGATCAAGATCCAGGTGGACAATGGTCTGATTCTGTAGGTCTTGTGGGCAAAGTACAAGTAGGTGATGTTGCCAAAGTTGGCCAAAAGCACGAGCTCGGACCAGAAGAAGTGCTTCTTGACAAAGAGCAAAGTCCATGCAAAAACACCCAAGTTGAAGCCTGTGAAGTGCCAGGCAATCTGCTTGGTGATTGTGGTTCTTGAGGGAGTCAAGGCACTGGCAGACTCAGCAGCGGGCACGAAAATCTGCACAACGAAGGAGATTTGCAAGAAAAACAACACAAGCCAGTAGACCAAAGTCACGATGATGTTGCCCGAGAAAGGCGTGTCAGCGACATGGTAAGGGTTGTGTGAATCAGAGGGAGAACGTCCCACAAAGTAGCGGATACTCACGAAAGCAGCGAGAACCCAGGACACGATGGTGGCCCACTTGTGGACCACAAGGTCATTGGCGGAAACAGAAGCCATTGGATTGAATTGGATTTAGAAGAAAAGAAGTAGTAAGGGGGAGTGGCGATATATCGAGCAAAAATCGAACGGCTTTTCTACGGGCTCCTAGTCCGAGCTTGCTAAGGCTGCGAAAGCAAGCGTCGAGCTCGTAAAGGGGCATTGTGTGCAAGCAGACCACATCCGACGCAACCACACCTTTAGTCCAGAAGCTGCATGGTATACAAAAATGGTCAAAAGAGTGATCTGAGGGGAAAGCGGTAAGAAAGAGGGGTTTTTGTTGGGCTACAGCTGGAAGCAAGACTTAATTAGTTCATAATCCTCAAGGAGCCTCCGTATGTACGGGTTGCATACGTCGTCTGGCCCGCATATTTTGCAGCCTATTTAGCATGCACCTCTGTATGACTTTTTGTGCTTGTGATGACCCGTGCCCTCCTTGTCCAAAAGCTTTGTTTGAGCCTTCTTCTTATCAATGACACCGTCGGAAGCAATACTAAGCAACAAGTCGTGGATCAATTGTTTCTTGGTAGCAGGCTCTTGAGAATGGTCCGCGCTGAATACCTCCATCACCGTGTCGTAGGCTTTCAAGAGAAGCTCTGTCGACTCGGTGATGCTCTTGATGAGCTTCTCGAGCAAATTGAGGTTGCACGAAGGACGAACCACCACACGCAAGATCTCCTTGTCATGCTCGTCGGCACTCAAGTTGTAGTTGGGCACAATAAAGCCCTTGTTTCTCAACAACAGGGAAATCATAGACTGAGGGATACTGTGGTACTTGTGACGGAATTCTTTTGAGAATCTGAAAGAGACCACTGGAAGTCCAGGACGGTAGCCCTGGTTGCTTACTGCCACTTCGCCCAACTCCAGCTGGTCTTTAGTGTCGAGTGTGAAGATCTTTTTGGCCTCATCCTCGGAGATCTTCTCGTGAATGACAGAGAGAACCTCGTAGTAGCCACTCTCAGTCAAGTACTGCGACAACAAACGGGCATTCTGGATGCAGCTGTCGAAGATCTTGGTGTAGCCCTCTCTGCCGAAGGTCAAGAAGTTGTAGTACTGGTGCAAAACAGGGAAACCAGGTCTAGAGAAGTTCAAGTTGAATGTTTCCTCAACTCCACCCAAGTAGTCCAATTTGAAACGCAACAGCTCGGGCAAGTAGTCGTTGTGTTTCCAGATCACCCAGCCCAAACCAGCGGTGGTCAAACCGAACTTGTGACCAGATGTGTTGATGGAAACCACACGAGGAAGTGCAAAGTCCCACTTCAAGTTTGGGTACACAAATGGAGCAACAAAAGCACCAGAAGCACCGTCAACATGGATCTTGACATCAAGACCCGTTTCCTTCTCCACCTCATCCAACAAGTCGTTGATCTTCTCCACGGGCTCAAAGTTACCGGTGAAGGTGGAACCCAAAATGACGAAAATACCAATTGTGTTCTCGTCAATGTTCTCCTTGATCTTGTTCACATCAATGACGTGCTCAGAGCCCTCGTTGACATTGATGGTTCTGTTCTCCACATCAAAGTATCTGGCAAACTTCTCCAAAGCCACCTGGGCAATGGAGGACATGATGATGTTGGGGTTTTCGGTGGACTTGCCCTCGGCCTTTCTCTTCTCCTGCCATCTCTTCTTCAAGGCCAATCCAGCCAACATAATGGCCTCGGAGGAGCCAGTGGTCGAGGTACCAATTGTGTCGGTTGTACCATCGTCATTTTTAGGAGCATGCCACAAGTCAGACAAAATGCTCATACAACGCGATTGGTGCTCGAGCAAAGATGGGTACTCATCGTTATCAGCCAAGTTCTTGGTGATGTTGTCTGAGATCAACTTCAAGGGGATGGACTCCACAGAGGTGTTGACAAACGACGCCATGTTCAATGTAGGCACGCCGTCAAGACTCAATTCCTCCTCAATGTACTTGAGCACCA